ATAAATATCTATAGTTTAGAAAAAATTAGAATTTAAGTACTGTTTAAAATAACATTTATGTATACAAAACTGTTTGTTTTGGAAAGTTTGAGTAATTACTGAAGTTATAATTAACATTTCCTTAACTTGAAATGGTTTGGGGACTCATTATATGTTTTAAATTATAAAACAAAAAGTTGATTTCTTGTTGCTTTGTATGGAAATTAATATTTCTATAAAGCATTTGTACCTCAGTTCTTTTACTGTAAAAATTGACAACAAGATCGTGTCACTTTTGTAAAGTTGATATATTTTTTATTAACTTCTCATTTTCAGAAATACTTTAAACTGTTTTAATGTCTTTTGTCTTCACTTTAATTAACATTCTAAGTTTGTTATAAACATCATCTTCATGTAAAGATCAGCAAGTTTTTCGATCATTCCCATTAAATAGTGCTTGATCATTATAATCACTGAGTGGAATATACAAAAAGTATGTGGTAGAAGGAATTAAGTATTTATATGGAGATTAAAAGCATGAATCACTTTTGCAGGTCATTGTACTTTATTTGTAATATTAACTGAAATATTTTATTGGCATTTAAAGAAAAGTAAAACATATTATTAATACATAGAATGTTAAATATTAAGAGCAATGACTTAGGGGAAACCAGCTTTTTATGGGTTTTACTGAAGGGATTTCACCAGAGTTCCAAGACACAGTGAATTTGTCATACACACACATCTTTAAAGCAAGAGACTTGTAGAATAATCTTGAAAATGAAATTTTGCAATCATGGTTGTTAATTCTTTAATTATTGGTTCATTTCTTTGTTGTATCAGACACGACATGGTATATTTTGTTCAACTTGTTTATAAATTATTGCTTTCAAGTTTTTTAACAAAATTTTGTTATGTTAATCAGCATTCAATGTGAAATTATTTAGAAAGTGCTTAATATAGCATAATTGGGATGTATACAGTTTAGTGACAGTTTTGAAACTAATGATTGTAACACAAAATAAGTTTTCTTAATTGTAAATTAATTAAAACTTTTTACAATAAAACTTTGAATTTGTGCTTTTCAAATTAGCAGTTGTACTCAACAAAAAATCACATGCATTGTTTCTAGTAAAACAATTAGCATTGCTCAGTGTTCACAAATAGCTGAATTGTTAGTAAACACTTAAAAGAAGTTTTATTTATATTTTCCATTTAAGAAATTTCATTATTATATGTGTTAAAATTTAAATAGAAACAGCTGTATTGGTCTGCTGTATATCTGAATTCACCAGACTATAATAGATAGCTGATTCCTGTTCTCTCAGAGTAAAGTTATCTGAACTATTTTCTTTCGAGCTTGTGTATTTCAGTGAAAATTATATAGGTTGCTTTAATAGACTAGTTATCATTTATTTATTTTAAGCAAACTTAAGTCATAAAAAATAAAAAAATGGAATAAGTCGTGTCTGTTGGTTGCCTAATAGTCTAACGAGTTTTAACCATCAGTTCAGAGTCATCACTTCTTATAGTTTACCTCGAAGTAGTTTATCTAATAAACTGATAATCACACTGTTTGTACTACACTTTCTTGATTCTTGTTGTACTTATATCTCATTTTCATTCAACTTGTACTGATTCCAAGAAATATTAGTACTACCTAATAAATAGGTGTTAGTAAGGTGTTACATTTATTAGAGATATGACGAGGTTCCATCATTTTAACTTGCAAACATTCCCAACCAAAAAAAAATATACTAACTTTTGTTTCCTTTTAACACAGAACAAATCTTCTTTAATTTTATTCCTTTTGAAATGGAAAATATGCAGCTAGTTGAGATACATTTGGGATGTTATTTAATTTGGTTTTTACTTGTTTATTGAGAGTTTTAAAATTTCAGCCATGAAACATGTATATACAACTTTGGGTTACAGATACATCTAATTTTTGTGTACATGTTTTTTAATTATTTTGTGAAAGACTTATGTAACATGCAGTTTACTTTATGTCCTCTGAACAATTTTTATTAACTGTCCCATGAATACTTTTATTTTTCTGTCCCAAGATTTTTAGTAAGGAAACAAAAAAAAAAAATAACTGGAAGGAAACAATATGTTTGGTGCATGTCTCACCAACCAGTTCTTCTGATGTACTTGTGTAATGATTGCTGTGTGTGTTGAAGCAGTTTGATCTTGACATTCATGTAAATACATATGTAGCATACAAAGTTTTAAGAAAGTTTTTGTCTAGGGAGTTACTTGTTTCATCTTTGAGCAAAATGAGTTAAATTACTTTTGTATTTTGGTAAGTTTTAAACTTAAACAGGTATTGAACTTGTAAACTAGTATGTAAAAAAATGTAGGTTTTAAAGTTTTATACAACTAAAAAAAATTGAGTTTTAAGAAGTTAAATAAACAAATCTTAATATATATTATTTTTCTTAACATCTTGGGACTTGTATTGGTAAAATATAAGTTTTTATTTTGTTACATATTTAAATGCAATTAGTTAACCAGTATTTGACTCAAACTTTTTTCCGTGATTACCTTATTCATTGGATTTCTTTTTAAATTAGCTAATATGACAATTTTAGGAACATCAGTTAGTTAAATCCTTTCTCCTCTACTTGAAATGGGTATGCATGTAAGTTATCCTTCAAGTGATTTTTTCTTTATACAAAAATATATAAATTTTGTGATGTGAGTGTATGTATATCCTGTATATCCATTCAAAGATCAAAATGTAATGGTTGAAGTTTACATAATTATAATAAAATGCAAAAGTTGAATAATAGTTTCTTTGTACGTTTATTTTAAAAACTAATATAGCATTTTATTCAGTATTACGAAACAGTAAATTAGCCATGTGAGCATTTTTGTTGACTGCCAGACCAGCTCTTAGGACACTCGCTGATTTGCACAGTCACTGACTGAAAGGTAGTAATAATAATAATACTTACTTTTCAGATTATTGAGTTAAGTTCATCTTGTGTGATTTTCCACTTGGTTGTCACGGTTAGGACAGTTGTTTGGTTGAGATACCAATGGCTAAAAGAGCTTTACAATCTTTACTTTTTGAGCTATCAGTTGGTGTTGTTCAGAAGAATGTATGAGCTATATTTTGCAACCAAAACTTGATTGTAACATCTAGTATGGTCATATGGTTGAAAGATCAGTGACTGAAATCAGGTTACATTCCTTGCTTTCTGACCTATGGGGTAGTATTTCACAATGTAATGTATGCACTGCATTGTGTGATTTTTCCACTCATTTATCACAGCTAGGATGGTTGTTTGTTGAGAAACTGACAACTGAAAGGATGTTGCAAGTCTTGCTTTTCGGTCAGTCAAAAGTGCTTTAGTCTGACAAAATGAGAGGATGCCATTTTTGTGATGACCACTTGACAACTGAAAGCAAAGACAGTTATTTGTTGAGAAACCAATGACTGAAAGAAGTGTGACCCTATTGGAAAATGTTAATCCAACATAATTAGTAACAGCTATCCCGAACAAGCTGCATGTTTCTAAAGAGAAAAGACGACTGTGCACTTAATTGTGTATGGCTCCTCAGTGTACAGTGAGGGAGTTGTATGTTCCCTACAAATGCAGAAAGTGGATTGGGTGTCTGAATTTCAGTGGAATAGATCTTGTTTCACTGATGTTGAGTATTGTATTTTGAAGGTGTATTTATGTACAAGATAGTGACAGAATAAATATTAATTTTGGCAATGGGAATTTTGGCTTAATAGTCTAATTTGGCAAAATTCCATGAGGAATTATTTTAGAAAAGCCTGTAAGACAATGCTCAGTTTCACCACTTACAGATAGTAGCACATTACCAGACCAAGATTATGAAAGTAGCACATACAGGTTACTGTGGTGTGTGGCAATGTGTGGTAGTTGGAAACATTTATTTGTGATTGTGTGTGTGTGTGTGTGAGAGAGGTTTTGCATACATAAGTGTTGTTCAATACAAAATGAATCAGTCATTGAGAACTCAACCAAAAGGCAACCTTTGAATAAAAATACAAGGAATTTTATCAGGACTGGGAGACCAAGTTATGAAGGTAACTATGGTTACTGCCCTGTCAAGCATTATATAACAGTGAGCCTGTTGGTTTTATTAATGCAGGTATGAAAATGTCTGAGTTTTGAAATTGAAACATTCAGGAGGTAATGGAGTTTATGGAAAGAGATAAGAGCAACAAATAGACTTGTATCACGCTTCCAAAAAAAAAACGATTTGATCCATGTTTCTTGAGTGATGACTAGTGGCATTTCAGTTGGATTGCACTTGAAATGCGAGTGAAGGGAAATTATCTATGAAAAGAAAAGTTCATAAACATTGTCACTAAACATAATAAATGTATCCAGTGCTTCAGTAGATTATGTGAGATAATTATATTCATGCAGAATTAAATATTTCCAAAGTTTTCAATTATTTGAATATATTCTTAAGATACTTTAGATAAACATTTTGGAATTCAACAGATTCCAGCTTCAGTATCTAAAGCAAAATAAAAGAATTGCATCATTCCTAAGTAAATAACTAAAATACATTGCTTCCCACCATGCCTTCCCATCGAATTCCTGTGGCTTCCTTCTTACTAAAATACGGTAATTTATTCAAAACTACAACAGCATAAAAATTAAGTAACAATCAAAACACTGCATGTTGTTCAGTGTTGCTGAAAGTTGTTTGATGTGGAGGGTTTCTTTAATCAGAAATTCTAGATCAGTGTTGGCTTTGCAAAGGATACTGAAATTTGATAGGTTCATGTCCTGTTTTTTCACCATGTTGACGTATAGAGGAAACTCTGGGGTTACTCAACTGTTTTTGTATTTTCATGGAAATTTCTATGTTCATTGGCTCTAGCTAGTAAATGGAATTTGATTTTGCCAATATTGGAGGCCTTACAGTCACCACATGTGTAAATATA